CCGCGCAACTACTGCTACACGGAATTTCGGCTCTGTTGACAGTCCCAATCTTCGCAAAACACCTGTATACACGTATTTTCTATTCTCGGTGGAAATATTTCTTTTCTAGACTTTCAATCTTAGTTCTACAAATCGTTCGTTTCAATAATGTGACCTCAGCTGCACGCTTATTTTCAAGATATGGATTCTAAAACTCTTATGTCAAGCAAATATATATCTGAGGTGACAGCAGTACGAGCCAAAAATAAGTGAATTTTTAACGAATCTGAAACTTTTTTTCGATTTTTTCACGAAATCCAGTGTAGCTGAGGTCCTGTTTGTGCGTACTTTAATTTAAGCAATAATACTTTTGCAATCCGTACATCCAATACAGAGATTTTTCACCGAATGGAAATGTGGTAAAACAGGAGGCTTTAGCATCGCCTTAAATTAGACCATCTTCAGTTCAAGTAAGGCGAGTTACACACGCAAGTTAAATTAAATAATAAAAATTATAAAGCCATACATTAGAATGAATTGTATTTAATAGCGACTTTATAATTTTTATTATTTAATTTAACTTGCGTGTGTATCTCGCCTTACTTGAACTGAAGATGATCTAATTTAAAACCGAAACGTCTTTTTTGTATTCTTTTTATAACATATTATTTTCGCTTGGCAATCGGCGTAGTGATTTATTGACTCTTATTTGAATTTTGTTTTTAATATCAACCACGTTTTGACCTAATTTTATCGGAATGTAATTGTTTACGCTCGCTAATGCATGCTAGTGTAGTATCGCGAAAATTCTGCTCTTCCCAATTGAAACCCAAAATGTTACATTTTCATTGATAAAAAATTTCCTAAATCAAAGTTATATTTTCTTGAATAGTACTAACAATACCCCTACAGCACAAAAGTTGCAGCAACAATGCTGCAGCATTGCAACAATATTGCACGTTGCAGCAATATTGCAGCGTTATTGCAGCACTATTGCTGCAAATTCTATACTGTATGGGTAAGTAAATATTTTTTATTGTAAATGAATATTTACTAATCGTAAGCTTATATTATTCGATTTCAGTACTACTTTCTTTTTTAAGTAAATATTTATTTGCAGAATGAAATGTTTACTTACTCTTATTCAAAAAAATATTACTTAGATTTAGGAAAATTTTTTTTGGTGTAGGACAACAGTTGGAAAATCAAAACACTCGCGATATTCCACTAACTGCACTTCCGTAAATAATTACACACCGATCAGAAAATTATTAATGAATATGATGTAACAAATATATAAGAACCAAGTGTAATTTATTTGCGCATTGTGGTAACTCGTCTGTATATATATTTTTTTTTACAGAACGACTCGTTAACAAAAATTATTAACAGGAACTATTTTTTTTATATATCAATTTTTTTTCAAACTATCCTGATATCGGGAGGACACAAAATAGCGGAATGCAACAATATACAATATATATTGGTACTAACTTATAAATGCTAAGTAATATAAAGCATGCTATCGACATAATATCTGTATCATTATATAGAGAAGAGTTGTCGAATGCGTATCATTTAAGTTATTTCTTATTATATTTTCCCCATTTGATACTAATTTCTACGTAAATGAACATTAGAAATTATAGGTTGAAATTTCAAGCATCTAATCTATTATTACACATGTTTAATTTTCCATCAATAACAAATTAATTTATTATAGATTTTTTTGTAATATGTTGCAAAAGATACGATATAGGCAACCAGTCGCCCTAATAAAGCTTCTAAATCATATCTCCTTTGAAAAAATCGAATTTATGAATTAAAATAATTAAAAATATAAGAGTAATAAAAACAGTCATTAATTAATACGAATATCTTTTTTTAATATAAAAATTTACAATAAAATTGTATTGTCACAATATTATCAGCTACATAAAGTGACGAAAAATTAATATCAGTTACCTAATTTTTTTAAATGCTGTTTGCGTGCGCGCGCATGCGTATCGACAACATTTAAAAAAATTAAACATAACCTGTTGAATTTTTGTCTACATTACTCATTTTTCATTTATTTCATCTTTTTTTATTAAATATTGCTTATATTGAGCAATAATCTAAAATATTTTACGTAGAATTTAGGCAACCAGTACACATTCGGCAATTTTCCACTATATTAAATAGATAAACATATTATTTTTTCTCTTCCGGAAGCAAATTATTCGTTTATATACTGCAGCTTTCTCGGTTGATAGAGTCCAAAGAACATTACGAAATGACTGTTAGTTTTCTGTTTATCATTGGTCACTTTTGGTACATGCTTTTCTGTAATTATTTAGGACAAGAACTGATCGATCACAGTAGCGATGTTTTTCACAGAATGTGAGTGACGTATATGTAATTAATCCTTAATTTATCATATCAATACGATCTCAGAAATTCTTTTATTATCTTAGTTATCTATAGGACTGTTTGTGTTATTATTTATATTTACATATCAAGATATTAAGTGTAAATAGAACGAATAGTTTACATTACAAGACTAATCAAAAATGATAGAAAAACAAATTTTTTATTAAAGCTTTCAGTTATAATTTTCTAATAATAATATTTTAGATATAACGTGCAATGGTACGTAGCTCCGTTAAAAGCGCAGAAGTTATTGCTGCTTGTGATGCAAAGAAGCATGCGACATTGCAAAATCGTCATTGATGGCTTATTCGTCCCGTCGTTTGAGGGATTTGCCACGGTAAAATTTCGGTAATAATATTCCTTTATCAAATTTTTTTTGGATTTTCTATAATAGACTTTTTATTATTTAGCTTATAAGCACATCAATTTCATACTTTGCGGTAATTCTTTCCCTTTTTTGATCATCTGCATAAAATGAAGAAACAAAGTTTAAAACTATACGAAACAAATTATGACATACTTATAGCATACGTTCTAAATATAAATATAATAGTACAGATGCAATTACAGTCTACTTTAGTTTAAAGTATTTATATCGCTGTACATAAAATAAACATAGAAATATAATGTCGTACTATTATAGTATTATTTTAGTCTTCCATAGAATGTGATATCATTACCATTGTATTTTCTATTATACTCACAAAGATAAGCTTTTCTATTCTTATAATAATTTCAATGTAAAACATAAACGTGAAAGTGAAATTACATCGGAATAATGTTTCTTTGTTATGACTATAAAATTAAATAATTCTAAAGAATATATCAATCCATTATTATACAATAATATGATTACTATCACTACTAATATTTATAAAATAAATTTATATTCCGATAATTTATATATATATAATCTTAATAACGCGGAAACTAATATTGTTACGCATTTGATATTCGTGCACGACATATAAAAGAAAACGTTGGACAAACAACACACTTACACACATATATGTACACATATACAGTACATGGCCATGTACACGATCGAAAGAAAGCCGATATACCGAAGAGTTTTTTTGCATGGATCGGCGCCTTTAATCACATACAATCAAGCGAGTGTCTCATCGTCTAGTATTGGGGAGACTTCCTGGCGACTGTCTCGGCCTTTGTCGCCGCGGAGATGATAGGAGCCGCGGCACACGTGTGTTCTTGACGATAGACCGCCGATTTACTATCCTTATTTTTCAGTATCTTTCGACGTGGAAAACGCGCGCAGTGCGTTAGTCTCGATTCGGAACTCGTGAAGAACAGTCGAAATATCGGTCCTCTAAGCCATGAATCGAGAGTTTAATTTCTTATACGAAAGGCAGTGTAGTGTGTTGTAGCGACCCAAGGCGACGACCTCAGGCGTAGTCGCGTCCATTCGCGAATAGGCTACACTCCTAGGCGTAACCACACAGTGGCTCAGAGTGTATGTCCACACGTAGCGAAACCCCCAGGCGTTGCCACACATAGGCTCAGGGTATTCGCTGTCACACAGACTTTGACAACTTTCCTCGAGATATTACCAATTACGAACAATAACACATTTCAGTGCAACACTCGTGTAAAATATATACATTACAAAACACATGTGGACTAATATACTTTTCATATGAACTGAAGTGTTAACAGTCATTGTGAACCTATCCATCGAATGCGAAGTTACAGTGCGTTCCTTAAACGGCTCGTGCTGATAGACAGAACAAATATAATAAAAACAGTAGCTACTATTCAATAAAAATTCTTCATGGTGTAACGTATTTTAAGCCTAATTACATTACAATACAACTAATAGATACATTGTATCAATAGTTATGACAGCTTGTAAAATTAATTAAGTATTTTTGTATAATCCGAAATCAGTTTTTACAATGTAATTTTCACAATGTTCGGGAAAACGCACAGAAAACAGTTTCGATGATTATAATAGCAGAGTGATCTTTCTAGTAAATCAAGAATGATGTTAATGCATTAACACATATCGCACACATACATCACAAAAAAAGCACCGCAACGTTCTGCGTCCTGAATAGAAATGAAGACCGTTACGCGCGAATGCACGATTTTACAAATGCGCTTGCGTCGGTCGAATGTAGAAAAGAAATATATTTTCGCGGAAAAAAGATAATTGGTTCATACAAATAATAATGTTCACCTGAGGGTTATAGATATAGACACTAGCCAAATATTCAAAACTACAATTTGCATAATTATAGTGAGCTATAGATATTCTATTGTAATTTTTCGCATAAGTTCAGTATTTTATTTAAATACACACAAATTGTGAATTATAAACTACAATCAAACATATCGAACTTATGAGATAACTTGTGGAAAGAAATTCGGTATAAACACATTATGACACTTGCATTGAGATGGCGAAATTGTCCGGTGAACAGTTACTATATAATTAATCGAAGTTTGTTACTTTGTATCGGATTATGGCCGTGTCAAAAATCTGTTTTTAGATATATCACAATCGTTTTTACAACGATAATGCTTGTATCGAGTGTGGTATTACAGGTACAATAATTTTTTGTCTTATTAATTTTTGTGTCTTATTAATTATTTTGAACACTATTCAACGTAAAAATTAGTAAAACGAAGTACACCAAAAGATATTAATGCATAATTCTCATTAAAAAGAAGATATTCTATTTATGTTACATATGTTAAATTGTAACAAAAAATTCTACTAGATTTAGTAATATTTAAACAAATATATTTCTTATTTGTATTTTTTATTTTCAATAATTTTTTTGAGAGTATTTTTTCCAAAATATAATTATACTAGTTTACAGTCAAAATTACTTTGAATCGGACAAGTTGTTTTTTACAGATTTTTTAATCTAGTTAATGATTTTTGATCTAGTTAAAAATTATGCCGCAAGTCAAATTTTACCAGCACATCAGGTTTACAAAATAATTGAGATTTAGTATGAAAAAAATAACTTTTTTTATAAAAAAGATTAGCATTATCTTGAAATTTTAATTAGAAGTCATGAATGTACTATTCGTTTCCTGTTTTTAATATTTTTTTAATATTTCAATATCTTTTTAGCCATGTTAAATACCAGATTTTTCTAAGATAGCTTTTCGTCTATGACAATAAAGTCATATCTATAACTTCTAGTTTGTGGCTATTAACGTATAATGTAATTTATATCGATAAATATAAATTTCGATAAATATATACATATACATGTATATATGTATATGCAATATATGTATATTATAGCATATAAAAAAGGCTTATATTAATTACTTGCCACCTCAAATATCTTCGAAAAACGCATTTAAAGAAAGAATATTATGGACCAAGACCGTATGGTCTGTATATGTGTATTAACCGTAAATAAAAATTTTAAGTATATGTAAATGACTTCATTGTTATAGCTGTATAATTTGATATCTTATTATTCGAAAAACTCTGCCTTTAAACCTTTCATAAGATGGCTAAAAGATAAAAAATATTAAAATTTTTTCAAATATATTTTGTAAAAAATAAATACATTCATTATTTTTGATCAGAATATTAAAATAAAAATATGTGTCTTAAAGAAAAGTGACAAATAACGCAAAAAAGCTACTTTTAGCATATTACATCTCAAGTATTTCGAAAACCTGACTAATAGTGAAATTTGATTTGCAAAATTGTTTTCAGCAATCAAAAGTCATAAGAAACCTCTCATTTCGTCAAAGTAATTAAAAAACATTTTTCTTATTAATTAATAAGTTATTTTTAATGTAAAAGTAGAAACACAATATAGCGAAGAATGTCACTTTTAGCTAATGACTTTCATCACAACAGAATACAATATAAATATTTTTCTACAAGTCCTCGCGTACAGCGTTCCATGGCTAGGCTATACGTTAAAGTATAATGTTCTCTGCCTAAACATAAGACAGGTAAGATTATCGGAAATCAAATTTATGATAAAACTTGTAGGAAAAGAAAATAATAATTGTCAATTTTACTTAAAATATTTTTGGAAAGAGATAGTAAATAAGAATGATTTTATGAACACAGATGCGAGATCTTATGAAACGAATACTTTGTGACTGGAATGAATTAAACAATTTGCAAGAAATTAAAATAATAAAAAAATATGCAGATATTGGAAGATTCATCACATTAATTGCAACATGTAAGCAATATTTTGAACATTTATTTCGTACTCTAAATTCGATCACCTTAATTTAGACTTTAATTGTTTAATTACAGTGTTTATCTATGCATCTGTTTTTTGCTTCATTCTGGTACAGTTTCTATCAAACTTTTATTTGAATATTACATCTGATAAAAATGAGTCCCGTCTACGACAGCTGCCAGTCCTAATTGAATGTTTTATTGACCAACAAAAATATTTTTTTCTAATTTTATTTTTCATGTGTTTTGCTGCTATATGCGGTCTCACTACGGTGGTAGCTACCGAAACGATTAATATGTCTTACACACATCATGCATGCGGTTTATTTGAAATAGCCAGGTAAAGCAAAGTTACGATTTTTTAAAAATTGAATTAATTTTAACGGTGTTTATACAAAAACGCATTACAGTTACGTTATCAATTTCAGTTATCGCATAGAACAAGCATTGCTCGAAGTTACGATACGAGATATTGCATCTTCTACCAAAAGAAGTTCGATAATATGTCAAGGGGTAATCAGTGGATTCATTATGTATAAAAAAGCAATCGAGTTCGTAATTATCATATGTACATGTATAAAGTCTTTTTTTTTATTGTACATTGTGATTTCTCTTCGAATTTTATAATCCATCTTAATTCCATCAAGTGCATAGACTACCAAATTTTATAAAGAGTATAAATTATTAGCACATTTAACTAACAAATATAAGTTGGGTAAATTAACACGTAATGAAAGTAATTATTTATAGTCATTAGTATGAATATATTTTCTTTACGCATATTTAAGATTTACTGTTATTTAGGTTTATTGAAATATTGAAAAGAAATTATACATGGGCGTATTCATTATTATTACCATTAGGAGTACTATCATTGAGCATTAATCTTTATCGCGTAAGTAATAATTGATGTATACTTATTTAATATTACATGTATTGTGTATATGTATATCTTTATTAGACTTGATTAGTTTTTAGCGATATTCATTGTTTAGTCTTGTATAAAAGGCTTGCTTAAATTTACCTTCAAATACTCTACGAATTATTTTATTGGCTACTGAATACCTAAAGACACCCTTAAATATAAGGTCTGACTATGAATACGAACATTAATGTGCATTTTTTCCGTGTGTAAGCAAATTAATCATATTTGTACTGTAGCTTTCTTGGTTGATAGCGTCCAAGAAATATTACGAAATGATTGTTAGTTTTCTGTTT